TATATCTATTTTGATAATATCTTTGACAAAAAGTTGTGGTTGATATGCGTATTGTGATGTTCTGGTCAATCTGAAGTTTAATATTAACTCTGGATTGGGATTCTGTAGTGGGACTTTGGACTGGGACTGTGGATTAGGACTTTGGATAAAAGCTCTGGACTCGGAATTTGGATTTGGACTCTTGACCAGAACTTGGACTTTGGATTGGGATTTTGGTATAGGACTTTTGACAACGACTGTGGACGGGGACTTAGGATTGGGAATTAGGACAGAGAATCTGAATGAGGAGTCTCAACTAGGAATCTCGAGTAAGACTATGCACTGAGACTCCAAACTAGGGCATTTACTAGGAATGAGGACTACGACACGCATACCGGGAATCTTGATCGAGACACTGCCACATTGGGGTTCCATCAATATCTTTGTTGTTATCTACAATACAAACCCTCCTTAATGCAGTCCTTTATCTAGTTTGATGTCATACTCAATATTCTATGTCAAACCCCATATCTATTTTGATAATATCTTCGACAGAAAGTTGTGGTTCATATGCCTATTGTGATGTTCTGGTCAATATGAACTTCAATATTTACCCTCCCCCCCCCTCCCCCCCCGACAGGGACTGTGGACTATGTCTTTGGACTGGTAGTCTGCATTGGGTCTCTAGATTGGGATTCTGGACTGGGACTGTGGATTGGGTTTTTGGACAAAGGCTTTGGACCTAGAGTATGGATTGAAACTTTGAACCAGAACTTCGATTTTGGACTAAGACGTTCGTCTGGAACTTTGGACTGCAACTTACGACTGGGACACTGGACATGGAATGCCAATGAGGACTTTCAACCACGAATTTCGACACATGAAAATATGATGCATAAATTAGTCAAATGATAAGTAATTCGCTGAATAATTTACCTTACAATTCAGTTTAATAATTACCCCATTCAACTCTTTAACGGGTCTCAACAATCATTCAAGGAAACTGGCGTAATAAAGATGTTAACCATTCAGTCTAAGGACCTGGGACTGGGATTAGCGAATGGGTCTCAGAAATGAGACTCTGGATTGAAAACCGTTAATATTTTTATGTGTGTCTAGTTTAATGTTATGTCAGATATATATTTTATATATTTGGAAATTGTGATTGTGATGGTATCATTGAAGGAAACTGGCTAAATGGAGCAGTTGAGCATTTACCTCGAGGCTCCGCCAAATAGAAAAACATTTACTCTTTTTGAAGAGCAATCACTCGACAACTGCACTAGTCACCTTGGCCTTGTCTTAATGCAATATGTAATTTGTCTCTTTTGTAGGGTTCCTGTGAAACACACTGTCATTGCTGCATATTTTAGGTGCATGGTTTCTTGTGCAGTCACAAAGTGGTAAGTGCTCTCTCCCCTCCGAACCCATTTTGGAGTCAGGGATTTAATTTTTCTTCCAATGTTCCTCTGAATAATTATATGCTCCTCCTTTATTCTTTTTTTTTTCCTCACTTCTTTTTGTGCTGGATATATCTATTTTTTTCTACATTGATGATGTCATGACGATAGGATCTGGATCCCCGTATATACACTAATCTTTTTATGCAATCTTGAGAGTTGAATGCTCATGTTGAAATCTGGCTTAGTTTCGTGGTCTACGGGTGCATTACAAATTTGTGGTATGTACGTGAGGATCCGTCCGGGGAGGTGTTCTTTCAAAATGATTACCTCACCTTCTATGGGTTTTTCTGCCTCAAGTCTGGACGTGCTGAGCAAGAGATATTTCTTGGAACCATCACGGTTAGGGTATGAGTCACAAGTCTTCACAAGTCTGGGTTCGGGTTTCGGTCAGGTGTCAGGGGGACAAGTCAAGATCACAGCTTAGGGTCACGGGTATGGGTCAGTGGTCCGGTCACATGCATGATGTGTGTTAGGATCCGTATGGGTCGCAGGCTTCAGAAAGCGTTTCAATGTACCTCATGTCATATTTGTAGTGAAGTTGCGCAATAGTACGCATGTTGATCAACACGTGCACGTTAATGATGATGCTATATTCAACATAGCATATAAGTTGGTTCTGGGTGAGGGTCTGGAATTGGGTTTGGATGGCCAAGTGGACGTCCAACCTCTCATGTGGAACTGTATCTACGTCTTGTGTCTAGAACGAGGACTGGGTTTGAATTTGGGTCTGGATGTGGATGTTAACCTACGTTAGGGGTATGAATATGGATTGTGGTCTGGATCCAAATAAGGATATGGGTCTGACGTGCAGGTCAGAGGCTTATCCAGGATTTGCTGCTCGTTGTTGACTTGTATGTCGATATAGTGTGACAGTTCTTTTGTTGATGTTATCATGAACATAGTGTCTGCGTCCCTATGTCAATGTTGATCTTATGTTCAACGAAGAATTCCGGTCCTTAGATTTATGTTGTTGATGCTATCTTCAAAGTTGGATGAGGATGCACAATTCGATTTTTATGTTACTTTTGATATGGCATAGGTGTTGGGTCTGGGTCAGAACCCTGGGTTAGGGTTCGGGTGTAGGTGTGCGTTAGAAGTTTAGCGTATGTAGGATAGGATATTGCGGGGTTGTTGTATTGGTTCTGGGCATCCGGAGTCTCGGGTATTGTTTGGAGCGAGCAACCATTGTGTTTGAGGTTTGAAATTGCATTGGGATCTGTTCTGTAGACCTGCAGCCCTCCACGAGGAAGAAAGCAGACATTGGGATATGTTCTGTGGCCCTAAAGCGGTTTGGGCCACTTAAAAATTACGGCCGAGTCCCCATATCTATGTTGATCTTATCTTCAACAGAGCATTTCGATCCCGATGTTTAGGATGATGTCATCTTCAGGATTGCCTTGAGATGCAAATGTTGATGTTGATGTTATAGTAAAAAAAACATCGGTGCTGGACTTGGGTCAGATGTCCGGGTTAGGGTCATAGTCAAGGTCCGATCTTATATTTCAGATAGCAATCCGAGGCAGCGGTCCAATTCAAAGTCTACTTAAAAAAGGTGCATGACTCCCCATATTTATGTTGATCTGATTTTCAATGGAGGATTTGGTTACCAATGTCTATGTTGATGTTATCTTCAAGATAAAAGCGGTCTAACATATTGATTTTGATGTTATAGGCAAAATAGCATAGGTGTTGGATTCGGGTCAGAAGTCTGTGTTACGGTCGTGGTCAAGGTCTGATCTTATATTCAAA